GGCAGGGGCAAAACATTGCCAGTCTCTTTACTAAAACATAGCAAGAACCACCTTTTTTTCAGTTCCCAACAAGTTCCTTATCTCCATCTGAGACCACCTCACCCTGGACTTCATCATCCATATCATTATCAGCATTTTGGTCAAAGCCACTCAATAAGTCTCTAGGAAGTTCCAAACTTTCCCATATCTTCCTATTGTCTTCAGAGCTTTCCAAACTGTTCCAACCTCTGCCTGTTACCCAGTTCCAAAGTCACTTCCACAGTTTGGGGTATCTTTACAGTAGTGCCCCACTCCCAGTACCAATTTACTGTATTAGCCCATCCATTCTGATGCTACTCCAAGAACTGCCTGAGACTAGGTAAGTTATAAAGGAAAGAGGTTTAACTGACTCATAGTCCTGCAGGACTAGGAAAGCCTCAGGAAGCAAACATGTCCTTCTTCATATGGTGGCAGGAAGAGGAAGTGCTGAGCAAAGGTGGAAAAGCCCCTTATACATCCATGATCTCCTGAGACCTCACTCACTAACATGAGAACAGCAGCATGGGAGTAACCAACACCATAATACAATTACCTCTCACTGGTTCCTTCCACGACACCTGGGGTTTATGGAAACTACAATTCAAGATGAGATTTTGGTGGGGACACAACCAAACTGTATTAGTGCCCAAAGCCACAAAAGCTAGACAGTATTTGGAGCAAATGCTAAATTGTCTTTCTAGCAATTACAGGGAAATGAGTAATATGGTTATTTTAGGGATATATAAAGAAAAGATTAAAGTAGGGATCATTTAATACCTTTAATGAACACTTTTCATGAAATAAGAAAAGGTAATTGCCAAATCTACTAATGTCTCAAATAAACAGAAAAAAGTTATAAGCAATTATCAGGTAACTGAGGAGTCAAAGTACCCTAGGCCAATAGGAAGAAATACAAAAATATAACTGAACAAAGAGAAATATATATTCACTACAGAAGCCAGTAATCTCTGTTTAAAACATTTCTCATTTTCTAACATTTCAATCATATTACTTTCACACTTAAAAACAACTTTGACATTTTATGATAAGAAAAAAAAGACAGTAATCGAAAGAAAGTGGAAAACTAGAGCAGAAAGAAGTTGCTACTCTGGAAATTTCCTAGATTTAATGGAACAATCACAAAACCACTTTGAGTATGGTAATAATTTAAATATGATAATAATAGAAAGAATATTACCTTTGTAGTTTTATAAGAGATATATAGACGTTACTCCTAACAGCTGAAACAATTTACCCAAAAGACATTTTGCTTTCTGTAACACACAATCTCAAAGGGAAGTAAATATATTTATGTCTTGGAAGAATAGATTTTTTGAATAATGTAATTATTCTGCAACTATAATATAAGCCTGTACTACTAAATAAGAAATGTAATAGTGGGAGTTACATTTACCATTTTCTTCATAGGTAGAAGAATAGAAAAAATAACACAAAAATGGGAATAAGCCAGAACTAGAGGTGGGGTAACCACCACCAAATGATTATAGACTTTGAGACTGAGAAGAGGCTTTAGACATCACCAGTGCCATTACTTTTGGGTGAAGCAGTTAAATACCACTTGGCTTTTATCATTTCCTTTCTTAAAAGAAATAAAACATCTACCTCTTTTTTGAAGACAAAACTTTTGAAAACAATACCTCTAGCTCCAGCTTGGAGCAATTGCTTTCCAAGCCTACCAGACAAGTGATTCCCTAAGATTTCTTTCCACTGACCTCCTGGATTACGTTCACTATTTCTTAGATTTCATAATTTTCTCTTTCTTGTACTTTGTTTTTCTTTAGCTAAAACTCATTCTTGCATAACTTTTAAATAAAATGTGCATAAAAAGTAAACTTGCTAAGCCCATATATCCCTAGAAATATCTCTAAACTGCCTCATACTTGATAGCATTAAAGCTTCCGATGATCATTGCCTCTCAGAACCCTGCGGGACCACTCTGTTGTCATGCAGCCAGTGTACCTGAGGGACAGAGTGATGCCATTCTGATTCCTGTTCCTTTGTAGGTAACCTATTCTTTAGAATCTTCTTGTTTTCTTTGGTATCTTAGAATTTCACAGAGATACAACTAGTCGGGTCTCAATCGGCCCCACCTTTTTAATATGAATGTTTGTGTCATCTTTAAGGTGCAGCAAAACTTTTTTTTTTACTTAGCTTTTTCTGTTCTTTTTCACTGAAAATTCTATTAGACAGATATAATGAATCACTCACATTGATCATCAATGCCTCACTACTTTTTATCTCATATTTTACTACTTTTTGGCTTTTAGCTCATATTTTGGGATGTTTATTTCCTTGACTGGTTTTTCTCCAACCCTACTTTTGGATAATTATTTTTATTTCAGAAAGCATTTTTTTCATTTCAATACTCTTTGTTTTTCTGATTATTCCTTTTTAATAGCAGCATCTGTGCTATGATTCAAATCCTTCTGTGAACTGAATTACAACTTTCTACATTATCTTGCTTCCTGAAGTATCCTGACAGTTACATTTGTTTGATCCCTGGTTTTGTTGTTGGCTTGCTGGACACATTGGAAAGATTCTTAATGGCTTTTCGTTAATATTTGTCAGTGATGACTAAATTAATTGCTATCAGTGGCTGAAAGGAAATTTCTCTGCCATTATATGATACAGGTCAAGTATTTCCCCTGCATGGAAGAGCTGACTGCAACTTCTGTGATTGTGTCAGGATATGTCCTCTGGCAAGTTCATTTTAGGATGAATAATGAAGATTAAGCATGCCAACCAGATACCACTCTCCATGCTAACATAAAGATAGCTCTATTCCACAGCACAAACTAGGAACCCTAGGCCCAGATAGACAGGTTAATTTTTGTGGTAGAAAGCATATCTGTGTAGTGGTTCCCAGACAGAGATGTGGGAGCAGGAGTCATGTGGTCCAGCAGGTGGTACTCTGTGAGAGAAGGAGGAAGGGAAGTAGGGGTACAGGCAGTAAATTAAAAATCTGTTAAATATACCACTATTTTCACCACATATAAATAAAAGTTAAGAAAAGATACATTCTTGATGTTTATTAAAAGCCATACAGTAAATACTTTCAAAAATAACCAAAATTTAAGTAAATAACTAATTTCCACAGAGGAAAGGCACAGAGGGTAAGAATAACTACGAAAAGAAGTAGTTAATTATGTTGCTTGGAAAGTAATAAGGGTTGCCTTATTAGAAATCATACGGTAGTTCTAAAGAAACTTTAATACATCCTCCCACTTATCTTCTTGATACGCTTTTCACAATAAAAAATTATATATCATAATTTTTCCATCATAGAGGCCCTCTAGTTCTACCCCCTATTTGTTACATATTTGAACAAGTGGTTAATCAACATTTTGTTCTGGGAAATGTATTATTTTCCAAGGCAGTCCATTCCACTTTTTGACAATTTTATTTATTAAACTTTTATCTCTTGTATTGAATCAATGTATGCTCCCCATTTTTAAAATCCCACCCATTAGTTCTATCCCTGGTTTCTGGAATTACACTAGTAAGTTTCACTGTTTTCCACGTGATAACACACTGAATATTTGTTGGCAGCTAACATGGTATGGTACCCTGCCTCTCCAAGCTGTATAGTCTCACTTATCCTGTGTATAAAGAAACGCTGAAGAAATTGATTACGTGCAGATTCTCATCTCTGAGACTGCTTATGCAATGGAAGAAAATTGGTATCAAGTGAAGAGGAAAAAAATGACATTAGTAAATAATAGAGATCCAATGTACATTTTATAAAATAGCTTTTAAACGTCAAGTGCTGAAAACCAAAATTATTAAGTCTTCATTTATAAGAGGATATTTTTAGTGACTAAAACATGCAATGTGAAAAGATCCTTATTTGTACAAGAAACAGTTATTGAATTATTTTTAAAGTGAATTATCAAAGGTTCTATTTTGTTCTGTATTTTCTAAAAATGTTAGTAGGAGTCATTTAGTGCCAAATATTTTTAAAAGAAAAGGGCAAATAATTTATTTAAAGTTTTTTCTGAATTGAGATCAACTTCTTAGTGGATAGAGAATAGCTAAACTATTATTAAACTCTATATTTTTAAGTATCTGTTCCCATACAGAATGGGTATTGTTTGAATCCAAAATGAACTTCTCTTGTTTGAAGAAAAATGTTAATATAACCACTACTGTAAATTTTGCTCACAAAAAGCCATGGTGTTTAGTTACATACACCATCCCAACAACAAATCCAAGAAATTGAATTTACTTATATCTTTTCAATTACATTTTCTAATAGCACATTTTATACAAGGAAAAAAATAGTAAAGAGAATGATCATTAAAAATACTTCAAAATGTACATGAGGGCCCTTATTCATCCTCTGTCTCTGGCTTTTGGTCCTGAGCAAAGCAGGGCAACCTGATTGTCAGGTGTCTATGGTTCAAGAAGGTCTATACCGTTCACCCTTTAAGCATACAATGTAGGGATTGCAGGATTAAAGATTATCCTCTGACTCATGTACTCCTTCCCTTTATCTTTCTCTTGGTGAGTTACTGAGGTTTATAGTACCTGTATTTAATTTTCTCTGGAATATGAAATAAGAATATTATAAAAGAAGTAGAACAGGAATCAATTTGAATGCTACCATGGAGAAAATTGAAAACTATTTAAAGTGTCAAGGAGCAGAGCCAAATTTAAGTATCTACGATCCTTGACATTAACAAAGCAATCAGAGATCTATGGCTCTCTCTTTTAACATAAAATTCTCTTTCTTAATACTCAACTAGACACTGATAAACAGAAGCACTTAGTAAAAAACAAATTAAATTATCTTATTCTCTGATAATGAATGGGTATTAGTGTCTGTCCAATTTGAAGTCACCCAACTTCCCAGTTTCACAGTTTTTCAAGACTAAAGGCAGTTATATTAATCCATTTTGTATTGCTATAACAGAATACCACAAATTCGATCATTTATAATGTACAGAAATTTTTTGGCTTACAGTTTTGAAGGCTGGGAAGTCCAAGAGCACGACACTGGCATCTGAAGTGGGCCTTCATGTTGCATCATCCTATGGCAGAAAGCAGAACGTCAAGAGAGTGCAAGAACAAGAGAGCAAGAGGGTGTTACTGAAGCACCAGGAGTTTGGTCTAGTTCCTGCCGCTCACCTCACAGAAAGCCAATCACCAAGACAACAAGTATTGCCAAGGAAGAAGGCTTTAATCAGGTGCTGCAGGCAAGGAGATGGGAGCTCAGTCTCAAGTCCATCTCCCTGACTGACTAAAACTAGTGGTTTATATAGCAGGGAAAAAATTTCACAATGTGTAAGAAGACAGGAACTAGGGAGGGGTGAGAAGACATCTAGTACCATGATCTGATGAGTTTGAGATCTTTGGTACTTTTTTGAGAGGCATGAAAGTTCTTCCCTGAGAAAGGAACTCTAAAATAAATACAAGTTTCAATCTTTGACAGCAGAATGGTCAATGTCTATGTTTATCCAAAAGAACAGTCTATGGGAATACTGGGCCTGTTTCAACGGGACTGAACTATCTTTTTTTTTTTTTTTCTTTTTTGAGATAGAGTCTCACTCTTTTGCTCTGGTTGGAGTGCTGTGGTGTAATCTTGGCTCACTGCAACCTCCGCCTCCTGGGTTCAAGCGATCCTCCCACCTCAGCCTCCCAGGTAGCTGGGACTATATGTGTATGCCACCATGCCCAGCAAATTTTTGTATTTTTAGTAGAAACAGGGTTTTGCCATATTGGCCAGGCTGGCCTGGAACCCCTGGCCTCAAGTGATCCTCCTGCCTCAGCCTCCCAAAATGCTAGGATTACAGGTGTGAGCCACCATGCCTGGCCTGAACTAACTTTTATAACAAATCTACTAACAATAACTAAACTGATCCACTCTTGTAATAACAATATTAATTCATTCATGAGAGCAGAGTCCTCATCTAATCACCTCTTATTAGGACCCACCTCCCAACACTGCTGCATTGGAGATTAGTTTCCAACACATGAACTTGTGGGTGACACATTCAAACCATAGCAGTAGTGTTACAATATACTTTCCTCAGAAAGCATGCCTGATTCTTCCAATTAATAGATGTGAAGAGACTAAATCAGCATATTTATTGCAGAATGAAACTTGACATGTCTCCAACACATTTTATAAAAAATAGAGTTTGATTTTTATCCATTTAAGTAACAATTTTTTGACAATTTTTAGTATTTATACTATTCCAAGCCTGTTCCCCAGTTGATAGCTTAAGAGATGCAAATGCTTAATTTGGACATTTAATATTCTACGATACAATGCTTTAAAAGGCAAAATATTGCGGTCAGGAATGAAGAAAGATTTACATCATTGAACCTCAAAGGGTACTCTCAATTTATTCTCTGCATTTCTCATCTTCTGCTTGTGCTGTTCACTCATAATTCCCAAATCAATGAAATTCTAATATAATCAATTCCCATTTTTAATTCTGTGATTGTTCTGTAAGAAATCCTCTTATTATTTTTTTAAAGTAAGTCTTCTTAAGAGTATAACTGAAGAAAACAGAGACTATTTCAGCAATGGTACTTAAAAGACACACTGCTTCATAAAGCCTTGGAAAAAAAGCAATTTTTAATCTCATAACATTAAATTTTGTTAGGGAGACCCCACACTTCTTCTCTTAGATTTCTTCCTGTATTTTTCTTTATGATGTGACATTGATTTATTTATTCAAGTTCACTTTATTTCTTCAAGCCCTGAAGACAGTGGTTATCACAATACCCTCTTTGCTCTGCCTATTGAACATTGTAGAGAAAGGAGAAAACAAATTTATATTATCTCATTTGATCTCAACATCAGAACTCTGAGGGAAGAAGGGAAAGAAGGAGAGCATTATGATCACATCCTTTTCACATGAAGAGGGAAGTTCAGAGATCAAGAGACTTGCCCAGAGCTGGAAAGTTTCTGTGAGAGCCAAGACTAGAGTCAGTATTTTCTGAGCTCTAGTTCTTACTCTTTCCCCATCACTGTGGATCTTGTCTATAAATCTCCAGATATTTAGTGTCCATTATTATATTTCTTATCCTTCTTCTCACCACAAAGGAAGGGAAAAATATTGTTTGAATCAATATATGCGGAAATTGATATATTTCCTAAAATTTGAGGGCACACACTTTCTTTTTCTTCTTGTTTTTATTATTATATTTTAAGTTTTGGGATACATGTGCAGAACATGCAGGTTTGTTACATACGTATACACATGCCATGGTGGTTTGCTGCACCCATCAACCCGTCATCTACATTAGGTATTTCTAATGCTATCCCTCCCCTAACCCCCAACCCCGTGACAGGCCCAAGTGTCTGATGTTCCCCTCCCTGTGTCCATGTGTTCTCATTGTTCAACTCCCACTCATGAGTGAGAACATGCGGCGTTTGGTTTTCTGATCTTGTGACAGTTTGCTGAGAATGATGGTTTCCAGCTTCATCAATGTCCCTGAAAAGGACATGAACTCATCCTTTTTTATGGCTGCATAGTATTCCATGGTGTATATGTGTCACATTTTCTTCATCCAGTCTATCACTGATGGGCATTTCAGTTGGTTACAAGTCTTTGCTATTGTAAATAGTGCTGCAATAAATATACATGTGCATGTGTCTTTATAGTAGAATGATTTATAATCCTTTGGGCATATACCTAGTAATGGGATTGCTGGGTCATATGGTATTTCTGGTTCTAGATCCTTGAGGAATCACCACGATATCTTCCACAATGGTTGAAATAATTTACACTCCCACCAACAGTATAAAAAGCGTTCCTATTTCTCCACATCCTCTCCAGTATCTGTTATTTCCTGACTTTTTAATAATCGCCATTCCAACTGGCGTGAGATGGTATCTCATTGTGGTTTTGATTTGCATTTCTCTAATGGCCAGTGATGATGAGCTTTTCTTCATGTTTGGTGGCCGCATAAATGTCTTCTTTTGAAGTGTGTCTTCTTTTGAGAAGTGTCTGTTCATATCCTTTGTCCACTTTTTGATAGGGTTGTTTGTTTTTTCTTGTAAATTTGTTTAAGCTCCTTGTAGATTCTGGATATTAGCTCTTTGTCAGATGGATAGATTGCAAAAATTTTCTCCCATTCTCTACGTTGCCTGTTCCCTCTGATGACAGTTTCTTTTGCTGTACAGAAGCTCTTTAGTTTAATTAGATTAAACTAAAAATGACCCACTTATCAATTTTGGCTTCTGTTGCCATCGATTTGGTGTTTTAGTCATTAAGTTTTTGCCCATGTCTATGTCCACTTTCTGTAAGTATCTAAAATTAGTTATGTTAGAATAATTTGCATATGCAAGAGAAGTCAATCTACTTTCACTGTTATTACTTAAATTTGTGCAAAATTATTTTTATTTTCTGTTCAGATACCATTTAAAACATTTGGGTTAATAGTATTTGAGTAGTTATGTTGTGTTCTTCATTCCAAACTGGCCATTCCTAACACACCACCACCCAGTTTTATTTATCTTATCACTTATCTCATGATTGTGAACTTGCATCATGAGCTAAACCTGGATATAATGTTGTCTTTCATGTTTCACACAAAGTAGCTATTACATTTGTGAATCATCCTTTATTTATGCAACATTATTCAATAATATTAAAGAGATACATGGTTTATGTGCATATAGCTCTTAATGTGGGTGTATATCAAGCATTTGAAGTACACCCAAAATTTACTTTCTTTTATTAATGATAAGCATGAACAAGCTAGAGCCATGAAATCCTCGAGAAATGTAATCTGCAGCACTGAACAGGCACATTTACATGCTGGCACTACCAATCAGCAGAGTCTCAAACCCGTAATATCAAGTATTTCTTCTTTTTGTTGTAATTCGCAGCTTAATCATCCAGAGAAATGTTACTTGCACATTATTATTCAGCACAATCTCATCAACTTTATCCTTTAGCAGTGACCCTCGATAAGAAATTAAGCCATTTAGAAATAGCATTTGTAATTATTCTATTTTCATAAGATTAACATGTCAAATATCACGAGAATACATGTAACAGTCTTTTGAAGCTTAAAACCCCCTGTTCACATTTCACTTAAAACCATAAAAAGCATTATCACGATGTAATCAGTAGAATATAAATTGCTAGGTGGCCCCTGTGTTTTGTGTTCATTCCTTTATTCATTCATTCAACAAATATTTATTAATATGTCAGTTTTCCAGGCATTACAGTGACAGGGCTAAAAAAAAACACAGAAATAAGGTTAATTTCTGATTCTGAAGGCACTGACAATCTAGAGGGTAAGATAGACTTATTTTTTAAAAAATAAATAAAAGTTACTCTGATAGGCTATAAGAGACATGAATCGCATTAGAAGTCTTAAAGCATAGCATGAGGAACACCACAAGGACACACAGAAAACAAGGAAGACTTCAATAGGATATAACGTGCCCCACACAGAGGCATAAAAAATTATGGCATGTTCTAAGAATTATGAGCAATTCAGGTAAAACATATGAAACACTATCTAACATTTCATCCTTTCTTATAAAGTAATGGCAAAGGTGAGACTTTGTTCAAGAGGTTGGCAGAAAAGATGTTAGAAAAGCGGATCTGGCACAGATCATGTAGGGCCTTGTAGCTCCACTAAGGAGTCTGGAAGAGATTTGGGCTTTATCCAGGTGATGAGAAGACACTAAAGTGTCTAAGCAGTGAAGGCACATGATAAGTCACATATTTAGAAAGATGAGCATTGTGACCAGTGTGGAAAATGGACTGTATGAAAAGATACTGGAGCTAGAGAAACTATTGAACTAGCCCTAATAAAGGCTTACATAAAAATAGTAGTCGTTGCCATGGCAGTGTAGGAGGAAAAGTTGGGACAAAATCAAAAGATATTTACAGTATAGATTTCAAAGTAATAATGAGTTAGTGAGTAACTAAGCATAGATAATGAGGGAGAGAGTGATCCCATGCTTTCTGACTTAAACGGCTACATGAATTAACTACCTTTGAGATGGGGATGCCAGAAGCAAAATTGGGGGGAAAAAAAGTGTATTTTGAAAGAGAAG